GACTGATATTTTAAAGTAGATTCTCACTCAGAGCGTACTACACATTTTCCGGAAGATCAAATATCGGTGACTAAAAACACTAAATGAGTATTTATGTCACTTAAATCTTAAAAAGAAGTTCAGTGATAGTTTCGGAATCGCTAAATAAAGACGTAGGCAAGTATACTAAAAAATGCCTACTTTATCAATCTGCTTCCCCCATGAGTATGGTTTGTTAATGTCGCGCCTGCTATGTAAGCAAATAGGACCGAATTCATGTGGTGTAGACGGTAATGTGTCTGTTCCTCAGCCCACATAACATGGGTTCAACTAATGCTGGGAAGGAATATATGTCATGTGCAAGTTTGGAGCCACAAAACAGCCAGAAAAAAGAAGAATCTTTCTAATAAGGGGGAAAAATTCTAAAGCATAGTAAACTTATTCTTCAAGTATGATATAAAAAATAACTAAGGCTACCCAGAACATAAATCAGCAGGCGAAGCTCCTTCATTCTTAAGGAGATGATTAAAGCCGATAAGCTCTTTCAATTAGTCCATTCTAAAGCACGAGTCTAAAAAAGCCGAAAAGTATTCCATGCGGATTGAAGCGTGTAAATGCATAGCATGTGTACTCGAAGGCACGAAAATTGGGCAACTTAGAAGCAAACTCACTTGCATACTCATAGCCTCTGCCAGGCAACCAGAGAGTAAAGACAGGAAGAAGCGATCCTCTGCGGTCATTTGCCTCTCCAAGCATACGAGATTTGGGGTTGAGTCAAGAAGAGTTAAACGATCATCTGCCTGCTGTCGACTCAGCTTAATTTCATCATCTCTGAGAACGACAGCCTCCTTGATATCCTTCCGCCCAGTGTTCTCTAATTGAACTTTGGATCTCGAACTTGGAGGATGATTGTATCTCCCCCAACGCTCTTTCTCATCTCTATTCTGCAGACTGCTATATGATCGGTCTGTTTCAGCCTGAAAAAAAGAATTTTGTGAATTTTGTGAGGGGATTTCGCAATCAAGGACGAGGGGCTTAGATAGCTGTAATAGCTGAAAAAGGTAATCAGAATTGATCCCGGAACCAACGGCATTTATAGAACTCGAGAAAGCCGTCAGTTGTTGAAGACCTTCAAAAAGAAATGCGCCGGCAAATGGACTGTTGAAGAGGCTGGAGAGGGCACGCAAAGTCTCTCGCCAGAGTTCGGCATAGACCGGAGAAGAGGCCAGATTCGATGTTGCAACGGGACATTGAGGCAATCCCATTGACGAAGTTGTGACAGCTGGAACAGTGTTTCCAGTAGTTTCCAAGCCGTTGGCTAGGTTGTATTGAGAATCTAGGGCCTGAGAGGGAAGCCCATCATGACTATTAGGAAAAACATCCGTAATTTGAAATGGTGTTTCAGCCACTGTGGTGACGGGTTTCATCTTTTGATGATAGCGAGCCATCATCTCGCCAATAGACTCTGCAAAGGAATAGAAAAAAAGAATAAAAATAAGCCATTCAAGTTTATAATGAAGCAGAAAGAATAGTTTATTTTTAAGAAAGAAAATTTAGAAAATGTCAACAAAAATCTGCAGACTATTAATCTGAATATTCCTAGTGTAATGAGTAAAATTAAAAATATATAAACAACAAATGCTCTAAACAGATTAAATGGTTGACTCCGGGGGGGCTACATCAATATAAGTACAAAAAGCTAGGTTTTTAGAATAAGTCCAGCAAAACAAATAATTCATACTCATAAATGAATTGTGTAGAAGTACAAGCCAATTATCATTAATGTAAAATTGCAATAAGCAAGCACATATAAATGATACATACAAGCGAGAAACATAGGAATATGAGAGCGATTAAGCTCACTCGAAACGGAAGCAAGGTAAGCGAAGAAAAGTTGAGTTTCAAGAAATTCCTTGCTTCATAGTTGCTGAGCTTACCTCCGTTTCAAGTAAAAGTGTTTGGTGAGGATATTCAAAGGTCGATCCCAACATAAGACAACTGCAGATTTCTCTTGAGTAACTATTGAATGGCTTCACTAG